CAGGGTGGTAAATTTTATTCTACAGGGCGTCCCTGAAACGTCTTAACCACACGTTTCATTGACCGAAAATAAGACGATCTATAGATATAATATATCTTATAAGCAAACTTATTACATCCAATGTCACTTTTTTTGGCCGCGTGTTTTCCATTTACCTTATAAACGCTTATATTAATTTTATCTTATTTTGAAATCAACAATTTCTACATAAATTGACGTTTTTATTGCAATCAATTTAGTGCAATCACCTTATTATGCACTCTTCTCGAGCAGCTTCTCGTATTCGGTTAATTAACTCCTGCTCAATTTATATCGGAGTTCAGTAATACATTGGTTTAATGTGATCTTACATACGTGGTGGGAATGTAGCCGGTATTTATTTGGTGCCTGGGAAAGTGTCAATTGTTGTGCAATGTTCTGAGTGCCCCTGAAAGGCTCTTCTGCAATTATGTCCAATACTTGTTCCTCTGTGTCTGCAACCTGAACATCAATTGTCGTCCACTATTTTCCGTACCACTCTCCGCACCCTTTGTTGGCGTGACTTCTTTCAGCTTCTGCTATGTTACTGTAGCATTTCCCCTGAACTAATCGCATATTCGCAAATTCGTGAAAGGAAATTCAAAGTCAGTCACAGTTTGACAAATTATTGTTATTATTGACAAGGGCTATCCACCTGTAACTATCTGTTGATGACAAAAAACATCATTGCCGCTTCGACTTTTTCACGACAATATGCTTCCAATTAAATATGGAACACTTTCAAAATAATGCTTAATAACAAAGTTGAAATTCGATTTTCAACGGTTAATATTGTACCGTGGATGGCCGAGTATTAACTCTTTCTTCAGCTTACAACTTTTATTCCACTCGGTACAACTTTAACTACGGAACAGGAACAAACTAACTTCTAAAATTAATGTCAACTTTACAAACGATAACAATAACACACGGAAAACACGGATTTCCGACTCGCGGGTTTAACTTCTTCTGCACTCAGGTGCGGCTGTCACTTCACTCTCCCCCGTCTGGTTCTCGTCGTCGCTTATATCCTTTTCTCCAGGTATTCCAGATAGTTCTAGAAATCTCCAGAACAGGTGCGAAACTTCCCGCTTGTCAGTGTCATATTTGACAGTAAATGGGGCCCAAATGGGGCTCCCATT